ACCATCTGTGCCGGCCCAGCTCCTCCACCCCTCACCTCCCTACACAACCTTTTATGTAGCTGCTGGGGGAGGAGCTAAAGGCAATACTATATATAGACCAGGGGTAGGCAACCATGGCATTGCAGCTGTTGTGGAAATACAAGTCCCATGAGGCATTGCAAGACCATGACAGCCACGGGCATGACTTGCAGAGGCATGATGGGATTTATGCATTCTTCGTAACTGGAATGCCGAGGATGCCTACCCCTGCTATAGAGTGTCACCCGAGGCTGCTGACATCACATCCAAGATGGTGGCATCCAGCAGTGGTCTCAATGGGAGGAAGCTGATGATTGTAAATCACTAATGGGGGTTTGGTGCAACATGGTTCTCAGCTTGTCAACTACCATTGGAGAGTCGCAAGCTGTATGAGGCCAATGGCGTACGAGATTACTACAGGAGGCGACACTTGGGGATATTTTTGCAACTCCTCTATTTAAAGGCCATCTCCACCCAAAAACTGAGTTTTTAGAGCATTTTATGGTTCCTGGCACGCTGAAACACATGTTGACATATTACCTGTCTTGGGGGCTTCAGTGCTGACATGTCTACAGCTGTTTTGTTCACTACAAACCCGAATGATGGTGTCACCACCCCCTCTGCCATGGATCTTCCTTAAAGGAGAACTATGGGATGAGTGCTTTTCACTCACCTCATAGTTCTAGCCGACCTGTGACAATGAGACTGTCACAGGTCGGCTCAGTAGATCGGGAGGTGAGCGAACCCATAGCGGCGTTCGCTCACCTCTCGATCCTGGATTCCCCCCTCCCTGCTCCGATCCGCCAGCGCTGACTGGCGGAACGGACGGGGGAGGGGGCGGGTACAGCTGGCTCTGCCTCTAGATAGGCAGAGCCAGCTGTCAGTCACGCAGCTGGGCGGATCCCGGCACAATTGTCGGGATCCGCTGCGGCGTCTCAGTATATAGTGAGCTACAGCTCGCGGTATACTGAGATTAGGGTGACGGGAGGACGCCAGTTTGTGTCCTCCCGTTACCCCAAGGAGAACTACGGGGGAAAACACTGACCCCATAGTTCTCCTTTAATGTGAAATGAATGACTGGGGTGCTCCAGGCACAGGAGAGGCAGAACCTCTTTACTGCCCTGTGGGAGGGGCTGAGACACAACTCCTGCTGGGAAATCACTTCATTGGATAAGAAGCTGGCCTGTGATTTAACTTACCGCCGCCCAGGTAAGATTGAGATGTCGATTTTGGATGGAGATGCCCTTTAATAAACCGCACTTGTCCTTTCTGTTGTGTTCCCCAGGGTTCGATGGCACACTTTATGATTACTTCAACGGCCACGAGGATTTGAAGAACCACTGCATCCGATTTGTGGGCGATCCGGCGAAACGAATCCAGGAGGATTATCTGCGAATCCTGCGCTACCTCAGGTCATAAAAAGTTTTCTGCATTATTCATCCGTCCCGGCGGGTCTCCCGGCTGGGCCTTCTGGTATAGGGATGCACCGTATGGCCAAATGCTTGTGAACCCTTCACCACCCACCGCTGGGTCTTTCTGCTGGGCTTTGCTCCATAGTAAGATTGAGATCAGTGGGAGGGTCCGGCTGGTTCCTGTAAAGATCACCGCCCCCTGCCTCTGATCTTCTTTCCAAAGTCTGAGCATTATATGAATGAACACATCCCCATCATCCCTTTTAAATGTGAGTTCTCCTCCCTGCTGGCCACTGGGTACTGCAGCCTTGCAGGCTTTAGCTGTGCAATCTGATGATTAAGTGCTTGACTACCGGATCCCAATGATGAGCAGGACAGGAGATTCAGTGTGAGGGTGGGGGGAGGACAACACATGATTCACTGGGGAGTAGTAGCCAGGAAATGTCACGGAACACCCGAATCCAATGATTTAGACGGGCGTCCCAATACTTTTGGCCAGATAATGTATGAGTGAGTATAACATTGGGGTAGAGTTCCCTCTAAGGGATCGTGTTCTTCTTGTAGGTTCTATGGGAAGATATCAGACAAGGCCGGAGTTCACAGCCCGGCTACACTGGACGCCATCAGAGACAATGCACCGGGACTGAGCGGGATCTCGGGGGAGAGGATCTGGGTGGAACTGAAGAAGATCCTGGAAGGGAGACATGTCACTCATCTGATGCGGCTCATATATGAACTGGGCGTGGCTCCACATGTCGGTGGGTGCTCGCTATTTATCTTAAAGGGGAACGCATGCCATCTTTTTCATCCCTCACAGATATGAACTAATGCAGAATAATATTTTGTATACCGCATACGACTTGCAGCCGGTAGGTGACAAACTCAGTCATATTGCAGATGTTTTAATGTGCAACAATTCGACCTCAAACACCCCCCGATCAACAAACTAAGATCCCATTACAGTTCTAAACATCAGCAGCTATTTACATTCATCTGAAGCGGATTCCTGCAATGAGGATAACCCAACGCGTTTCCCCAGATCATAGATCTGCTTCATCAGGAGATATAGGCAGTGTGAATATTTCAAAGGAACCATCCAACCCGTCATGGACCCGAGACTCACTCTCAGCCACACTCTTATCTCTCGTTCACACCTGAACGTTTTGTAGTGCGTTCTACGCTCGACGAACGCTCTACAAAACGCTCAAACATGAAAATCCCATTGTTTTCAATGGGTCTGGTTCACACCTTGGCGTATTTCTGCCCGCCCCTAACGCGCTACAAAACGGCCCACGCCTGAAAAGGTCCAGGTACTACTTTGGGCCGTTTTTGTTGCGCGTTTCCATTGGGATACAGCCAAGTAGCCCTCGGAAATGCGCGTTTGTCGCGGTAAAAAAAACGCGCGACAGACGCGCATATGCAATACGCCTAGGTGTGAACCAGGGCTTATTGTATATAATATCATATATATCATAATATAAGGTATCTTAGTTTACTGAGCAGGGAGTGTTGGGAGTATGAAGAATTGTAACATTTGTAACTTCCTGAACCTTTTTATGTGGTTTTAAGACTTTATCAGCAATATTTTTGTTAATATCTGTGATGTTTTGTATTAATTTGGCACCTTAAAAATTCCTTATACTAGTAATGCAGCGACACCGTTTTTTTCGTTATCGAGTACAGATATTTTTTGTACGCTGCCCGGCTTCCTGATTGGCCGGGAAGCCGGCTTCATGCTCCCTCATCACAAGAGGCGAGGGAGCATGGAGCCAGCTTCCTGTTTACGGAAGTTCGGGTATCGGGCTAGGCATCGGAGCATTTGGGCGAGTATGAGTACTCGCCCAAATACTCGGCATCGGCACCGATATTAGTTCGGTATCAGTGGATCCCTCCCACGTACATATAAGGGGGTTCATTGAATGTATGTGTTGTCTAGACAAATCACCGGGTCACATATCTGTTGTTCTAGGACTACCGGAGGACGGGAACCTGGAGGAGTTTGCCCGGGTCTGTACACAAGCCGAGCGCTCATCTCCCAAACCCATGACCCTCCTGACTGCACTCTTCTCGCACCCGGACGCGGTCCAGAAACTGGATCTGAGGCTGAAGATCTCCAAAGAGGAAAAAGGTCTCTCGCTATTTATACTGAAGGAGAGGCGGGAGCTGAGGGCGGATCACACGGACAGAGTGCCGCTGAAGCCGTACCAAGACTACATTATTGATGTGAGTAGCCTTAGATCAACACCCATCTCACCCAGTCCATAGATCAACAATGCAGAGTCCTCATTCCTGACGGCAGGGGTCTCACACCAACAATCGGGGATCACTCCGGTTCCGGCAGCTTCTAATGCACATTGTGAGGAGCTCCCAGTGTGCAGTGAGATCAGAGGAAGAGGAGAGGAGCCGATACAACTGTGCAAGACTGAAGGGAAGGACGGAGGTCAGATAGAAGACTGAAGGGGAGGACGGAGGTCAGATAGAAGACTGAAGGGAAGGACGGAGGTCAGATAGAAGGCTGAAGGGGAGGACGGAGGTCAGATAGAAGACTGAAGGGAAGGACGGAAGTCAGATAGAAGACTTTTTTGAAAACATGATGAGCCAATCACGAGAAGAGGAAATTGAGCTTTTGTAGGGAGTTCTGCACACAGTGTACAGAACGTTCTCAGTGTTACAAGGGTGCAAATTACATAACGGGTTGTGTAGTAATGATTTGTTGTATCAATTCTTTGTAGGAAGGTGAAGCGTAAAACAAAGAGGATAGCGGAATGTCATGGCCGGGACCAAAAATGCGATCTCTAGTTGTCACCGCTGATGGTTACTGACTTTCAGGGGTTAAGTCATTTATCATATGGGACAATAACTGTCATTGTGGTTATAGAGACCATGGAATGATCAGCATGGATATTATGTAACACTCGCCTGTCCTGGGATCCAGCGCCGGGTCTCCTCTCCAATCAGGAGGCTTTATATGGCAAAGTGATGCATGGCTCGGCATTCCGGCAACACATTGCTGCGCCTAAGCCACACCCCCTGCTGCAGAATCTTACCTGTACCTGCCCCAGTCCTCTGTGCCTCTCCTGCTGCCAGTGTCACTGACCTCTGCACTTTTCTTTCTTGGTGTTCAAGTGCCTAGAGTGCCCCCCCATGTCTCCAGTGCCTCCCTGTGCCTTCAATGCACTCCTGTGCTCCCCCCGTGTCTCCATTGCTTAGCTGTGTACCCCCGTGTCTCCAATGCTGAGCTGTGTACCCCCGTGTCTCCAATGCTTAGCTGTGTACCCCCCTGTCTCCATTGCTTAGCTGTGTACGCCCGTGTCTCTATTGGTTAGCTGTGTACCCCCGTGTCTCTATTGGTTAGCTGTGTACCCCCGTGTCTCCATTGGTTAGCTGTGTACCCCCGTGTCTCCATTGGTTAGCTGTGTACCCCCGTGTCTCCATTGGTTAGCTGTGTACCCCCGTGTCTCCATTGGTTAGCTGTGTACCCCCGTGTCTCCATTGGTTAGCTGTGTACCCCCGTGTCTCCATTGTTTAGCTGTGCACCTCTGTGTCTCCAATGCACTGCTGTGCACCCTTGTCTCCAGTCCATGGCTGTGCGCCCGTGTCTTTGTGACAAACTAAAACTACTGTGATGGATCCCCAGTGCTGAGCAGCACCCTCGGGCTGGGGGTGGGGAGGAGACCTGTAAGTGTTAGTAAAACCGCAGCAGAGAAAGATCAGGCTGTGCTGTGCTGTGCGGCAGAGCTGTGTAAACATCAGGACTGGATCGATACATATGCAGATCGTACAGCAGGTAATACATATGTATTTCATCTCATGGATGCCAGCGCTATGGCCGCCCTTCCGCCTCTCTTTCCACCCATTTACAAAATGCGCCCAGCCAGGCCTCGTCTTGTGTATTGCGAGGCGGAGACACGGTCATAGTGCTGGGGTCTCTGGGCTGGGAGTACAGGGGGAGCTGTACTAATCCTCTAATATATACCAGCCTATGCGCTGGATGTATTATAAAGCCAGCACGACGGAGGGGTTGCTGTAGTGGCAATGGGCTGTATAATCAAACAATGTAGGCAACGCCGGCACTCCATCTGAGGTGAAACTACAAAATCTATCATGCCTCTGGGGGGGGGGGGTCGTGCCTGTGGCTGTTAGCCTTGTAATGCCTCATGGGACTTGTAGTTCCACAACAGCTGGTGGGCCGAGGTTGCCTACCCCTGGTATAACTGCTCCTAGGCCTTGTTCACACCAAATGCAGAGCAGATCCGGTCAGGTTTCTGCACACGCAGTGCAGTGGGTTGTGCCGCGTTTCTGATGCGTTCCCGGCCGGTTTTTTAAGTTTAACATGGGCTTTCAGGCACTTGCATGCGTTTTTGATGCGTTCCAGAGCAGGTAAAATAGGGCTTGCCGCAGTTTTTTCACCTGCTCTGGATCTGCACGCTGCGATGTGAACTGGAGGTCAAAATACCATAGGAATACATTGGACGCAGTTTTGATCCGCTCTGCACCTGCTCCGGTCTGGATCTGCTCCGCGCTTGGTGTGAACAAGCTCTTACCCTATTGTGCTGGGGGTTGGGCTTTATAAAATTGGGATCCGATCTCCTTTAACTTTCTGCTCCCTCTCCGACAGTCCCGGGAATCTGATGCCCAAAAGAAGGTGTGCGAGCTGCTGAAATACCAAGGCGAGGAGCGGCTCCTGCAGGAGATGGAAGGCTGGACTCTGCCCCGCTTCCCCGTCAGCGGGCACGACCTCCGCCGATTGGGCATCTCTTCGGGGAAGGAGATTGGGAGGATCCTGCAGGAACTCCGGGAGCAGTGGAAGGAGAGCGGGTACCGATGCGGCAAAGAGGAACTTCTGAACGGCGTTCAAGGGAAAGGTTCCTGAGCGTGCGGCCAAAGTACAGACCGTGCGTTGCTTGGGGAGGTTCAGCAGGGACAAGTTATACTCTGCACTGAGAGGCAGCCATCACTTTCTAGCTCATGAACGGCCCCTGACGAGCTGAGGGCTGTGTGCAGTCCGAGACCTTATCTGAAACCAGTTGCGGCAGATCGGGTGTTAGGGCTTCTTCACACCACAATGCGCCGCACAGTAAAGCACTACACGTGTGTGCGCTGCGGTGCGTTGTTATTCATTGCACCCGACACACTCACACTGGCAGGGGCGCAGCACACAACACATCAACAACCCCCCTACCAACCATTCTGTCCTGGCATTGATGATTTCAAATAAGGGCTCAGACTCCACACAGCCAAGGTTTGTAAATAATTTGAACAGCCCGGCTTACTCTAGAGCAGCGTTTTCCAACCTTTAAAAGTATGCAAAATCTCGAGGTACCCCAGTCTAAAATATCATAGATTTTAAGGGGGGGGGTCCCTATGCAAAAACACAGGTTCTCCTCCGTTCACATTAAAGCCCCCCTTTCAAATCAGGAGACCCCCATCATATTAGATCTCCCTACTTTCACATCAGATTACCCCTCCACGGCAGGCGTCCCCTCCTTTTACAGTTAACCCCCCCCCCTAGTAGCGGCACAAAGGGGGTGCAGCCCGCACCCGGGTTGACACCAAAATGACTGACCGTCAGTTTGTTGTCACCCCCTCTGAAAAGTCGAGCACTCAGTCATGGACCGAGAGCCCGACAGTTTCAGTTTCGCGGCCATCGTGGTGATGGACGCCGGCATAGAGAGGAGAAGACGTCATAGAGAGGAGAAGACGTTTACCCGGCGGGATGCAGTATGCCGTCGAGCACCCTCCTCTCCTGACACTGTCGGGCTCTTGGTCAATGACCGCATGCCCGGCTTTTTAGAGGGTAGAGGGGGTGACACCAAAATGACTGCCAGTCATTTTGGTGTCACCCATGCAATGGTGTCACCCGAGTGTGGGCCCTACCCGTGACGCCACTGGAGGGGGAGACGCCAGAATGACTGACAGTCATTTTGGTGTCACCCCCTCCGAAAAGTCGAGTACTCAGTCACGGACCGAGAGCACGACAGTATCAGGAGAGAGGAGGGGACCCCGGCGGCATACCTCATCCCACCGGGTGACTGTCCCCTACTCTCTCTGCCGGCGTCCATCACCAAGATGGCCGCCAGCAGGTGGCGCACATGCATGGTGACATCACCCGATATCCGCTCAGACTGACACTCTGCCTTAGGGCACCCCTGGTCCCCCCCCCTCTCATAATAGGAGCCCCCCTTTACATCGCAAGCTTGGCTTCA